ACAATTCAGCATATGACTGGGAGTGAGAACAGAGGAGAGGAAAAGGGAGATGCAGAGAATTCAAGGCAAAGAATAATGACAGATACAACCTTCAAAGGCATGCATATGTATAGTGTACACATATGAGGGGTGAGTGTGTGTGTGTGTTTGTTTGTGATATTTTGTTTGTTTATTTTATAATAAAATAAAATTTATAAAATATTAATAAAATATTAATAAATAAAATATTAATAAAATAAAATCCTGCCTGAGGATTAGCAAAGCAGAGTGGCCAGCCACTAAGTTCTTACCTCTCCTAATGATCAGATCAAAGGGGCGATCCTCTCCCCAGACTGCCTTCTCAGACTGACTTCTTCTCAGACTGCTTTCTCACACTGAGTGCCCTGAGCTTCTGTCTCCTTCTACCTTATATTTCTCTCTCTGTCCAGCCATATCACTCCTGTCTCCACCTCCCTAGCTCTGGGATTAAGGCATTTCATCCCAAGTGCTAGGATCACCTTTGTGTGAGCTCTGTTTCTCTTTTAGACTGGATCAAAATCATGTAACCCAGGGGTGGCCTTGGACTCATAAAGATCTGTCTGCCTCTGTCTCCTGAGTGCTGGGATTAAAGGTGTGTGCCACCACTGCCTGGCTAACTCTGATCCTCAGGCAAGATTTATTTTTTAGATCATAAAGAAATATCACCACATGTGTGTATTGTATGTTTATTTGTGAAATATGGAGGTCAAGGGGCATGTGGTGGTTTGACTGAGATTGGCCCGCATATGCTAGTGTTTTTGCAAGCTTGAGTCCCAGCTGAAGAGATGCTGGGAAGGATTAGGATCTGTGTCCTTTTGGGGGGACATGTGTAGCTAGGGGTGAACTTGAGGTTTCCAAATCCCATGGGAGGCCCAATGTTCCCTCTAGTTCTGCTTGTCTGTCTGCATGACATGGTGTCAACTCTCAGGCACATGCCTGTGTACAATTATATCATGATGTCAGCTCTAGGCACATTCCTGTCTGCCTGCTTCATGCCATGATGAAAATGGACTAACCTGAATCTGCAAGAAAGCCCTCCAAAATGCTCTTTTGGGAAGAGTTGCCTTGGTCGTGGTGTCTCTTCATGGCTGTAGAACAATGACTAAGAGCACTGCCCACTACCTGTGACCCAATAGCTCCAGGTGACCTCCTGTTCCTTCTTTCTTGCAGGTGTTTGAGCTCTTCTCTGGCTTCCTGAAGTACTTTCCTGGTGCCCACAAGCAAATCTTCATAAATGTGCAGGAAGTCCTTGAGTACATTGGACACAGTGTGGAGAAGCACAGGGCAACATTGGACCCCAGCAATCCAAGAGACTTCATCGATACCTACCTTCTACGCATGGAGAAGGTAAGTCCTGCATGAATGAGAGGGGATGAGAGAGTGAGGGCTGAGGATGTGAGCAGAGGAAATGAGGGGCAGAGGATGGGGAGGAGAGACAGGAAATGGAGTGGAGGAGATGCAGAAGCATCTGGAAAATGATTAAAATAAAGGGGAGAAGAAAATAAAACAGAGAGAAAGAAGGCTGTAGAGAAAACACAGGACAAGGGACAAAAAGCAGAGAAGACCTCAGAGGAAGATAGAGCCTTAGAGACAAACCATGAGAAGCTATCAGAAAACAGAGTAGAGAGAACAAAGAAGACAGAACACACAGAGACCAGGTGACATTGTCAAGGACTGAGAAATGCCATGTGGTCCTCATAGTGTGAGGCAGAAGGACAATTCCCAGGATGTGTGAGCATCTCCCTGCAAGGCTCCAGTCACCCTGACCTTCTCTTCTCTCCTATCTGGAACCAGGAGAAGTCCAACCCACACACGGAGTTCCATCACCAGAATCTCATGATCACTGTGCTGTCTCTCTTCTTTGCTGGCACCGAGACCAGCAGCACCACGCTCCGCTATGGCTTCCTGCTCCTGCTCAAATACCCCCATGTTGCAGGTGGGCCCCAGGAAGCCAGGTCAGGGAGCTTCTAGCTCCCTTTTGGCTGTAGAGCTTTGTGTGGATGAGAGAGACCTGGACCTCTTCCATCTGGAGCTCTGAAGGCTTTGGTCTACTTCTAAACTAGGGCAGTGCTGTGGGTGGTTTGTGAATTAACCCTCAGCTGATCTGTTTTCCATTGTTCTCTCCTATTATTTAAAGGTTGATCCATCCACCCACCCATCCATCCATCCTTCCATCCACCCATCCATCCATCCACCCATCCATCCACCCATCCATCCACCCATCCATCCATCCACCCATCCATCCACCCATCCATCCACCCATCCATCCATCCACCCATCCATCCA